CAATCCGCTGGGTGACATCTGGGGAACAGGGGAGAGGGGGCACCACCACCGCCCACAGGGCGTGGGATCCAAAGCACAGTAGGCGCAGCCCAGTCACCCTAAGACTGCGCTCCTGGGAAAGAAGAACCCAGAGACTGACGGGGGACGGAGAAGCAGAGGGAGACCAAAACCTAGAGAAGACAGAGATGAAACATCTCACGATGGGCCCTGAAAGACCAGGGCGATGGACCAGGAACGCGCGGGAGACGGGCCCTAACACCAGGCTGGCAGCAGGGGCTGGTGGCGGCCTGGGGACGACTGACGACCTTGGGTTCAGCTTTCTCAGCTGTAAGCCGAGCAGGCTGAACCCGATGAGCCCCGCGGGTCCTCCCCACTTTGTATGTCTCACAAAGGCCGGGCAGCCAGCCAGGATAAGAAAAGCATAAAACAAACAACTTTTATCTTTCCAGAGGAAAACAAAAGCCCAGTCCCAAATGACAGACTGAGCCAGTTAAGTGGACGCTGAAGACTCGAGGATGTCATCAGGGAAGAGAGGAGAAATCAGCAGAAATCACACAAAATGTTACGTTCAGTAGATGGAATCCCCCGAACTTCGAAAATGGCTCAGAAATAGCAAGTTTAAATTAAAAAATATATATATAGCAAAAAAGAAACCTTCAGAGCTGTGAAGAACTAACCCTTGGGAACAAAGCAACAGTTAACACACAGCCCAAGAAGGCTGAAGACTTGCAGACTCGGTCTCTTTGGATTGATCGCTTTCCTGAGCAGGTACTATGCTCTGATTGGCTGATTTAAAACAAAGAAAAAGGTGATAGGGGCCAGATGAGATGTGAAAGAAATGGGAACAGAGGTCACAGGTCAACAAGGGACAGGGCGTTGAGTGACGGCAGGGAATCAAGCAGCAGATCTCCACAGGATGCAGAAGGCTGTGGGAGGGCAGCAGTGACCACTATCTGAAATGTCACCTCCTCATCTTCCCTCGGGGCTTCGGTGGCCGGAGGCCTTGTATTGGTACCCAACCTGAGACGCAGCTCACCACTTCCTTGCTTTGGGCTGTATTCTTACACCACCTTTGTAAGGCCAGGTTCCAGCTCAGGGGGGCCACTCACAGCCTGTGGTGGTTCCAACGTATGGAAAATGCCTGATGCCCCAACTGGCCACGCAGGCTGTCCTCTAGCACCCTTGACAGAGGGGATGGGTTCCATAATGTCCAAGCTCTCCCTAAAATTCTGAGATTTTGTGTGTTGGAAGTGGGACAGAAAAGAAAGCTGGCAAATAGCTTTAAAAAAAAAAGGCTGTTTGACACTGGGGACTTTTCCTATAAAGTGAATTCCATAGCAGGGTCAACCCCCCTTCATTCCATGACCTAGCCATATCATGAATATCTTATCTTCACACCCCAATAACTGTGTGTTAGCAGAACTCCCAATGGTTGAGGAAAGGCCAAACGCTGTCTGTCATATCTGCATAAGGTACTCAGGTGCTATTGTTACGGAAACGACAGGCCAGCCAAGAAACAAGCACCACTCGGAGGGTTGGAATACTCAGATGTATTACGCCGGCGGGCTCAGAGAGGCTTCTGCTCCGAAGCTCTGAGCACCTCCAAGACGTGCACATGAGGTTTTATAGGGTAAAGTGCAAGCTTGGGGTATTCGGCCAGCAGGCATGGAACAGCTTTAGCAGCAGCATTATCATCACAAAAGTGGAGGCGGGGAGGCAGCAAACCAACATTCCAAAGCCAGATATGTATGTTTGAAAACCCAGCTGGCTAGCAAAAAACATGAACAGCAAACCAACACTAATTAACCTAGATTTACAAGTTAGTCTAGCAGAACTCAGATCAGTATTCCAATACTTAGATTTGTGAGTTATCTTGTTAGCCCAGCCCAGCCTCTCCTTCACATTCCTAGACTTGTGAGTTATCTTGTTAGATCAGCCCGGTTTTTCCTTCACACTATGGACTGAATGTTTCTGTCCCCTCAAAATTCACATGTTGAAATCCTAACCCCCAAGGTAAAGACTGTTCGATGTCCTGAACCCTACGGGGCCAAACCACAGACCTACTGGCTGTGAACGCTTGCTGCTCTTCAAGACAAAGGGAAGAAGGACCCCAAGGTGACTCAGAGATCATCGGGCTGTCACTTCTACCACAGGGCATGGGGGAGGGGAGGACTGCATCCACCTTGGCTTCAAAGGGCGAGACCAATGCTCGGCACAGTCACGGGAAGAGCCCCCAGGAGCCGTGGGGATCTGACCCCCACCGGGCAGAGCTGCGAGGCAGACCACTGGCCCAGATGGTCTGGAAGGAATATCAAGCCAAAGAGGATTATGCTCGAGCCTTGAGATCTCACAGTCTGACCTGCCTGGGACTTGTCATCCCTTCCTTTGTTCCTGTTCCTCCCATTTGGAATGGAGATGTCTACCCTGTGCCTGGCCCATGACTGCACTCCAGAAGCACAGAACTGTGGGGCCAACTGACGTCCTTCAAAGTCCAACGACCCCCATTTCTGGGCTCTCAGATGTCTGACATTCTTTGCTGGGTGTGTTTCCCTAGCAAACTGACAGCTAATGCCTACGTATCAGAGTCACAGACCCCACTGCCCTTCACGGCCCCTAAACCTCTTACACCTCGCCTACAATCAATCAGAAACGTGTGTACAAGATGATCAGGCACCTTGTGACCCGGCCTGATAAAACACCCCAGCAACCGGCCCTCGGCGCTCACACAGACACCTCTCTTCCGTGCGGCCGGCTGTCGTCTCTGGCAGTGCACTCCTAATAGACTCCCCTTCTATCCTCATACTTGATCTCCGGTAAATTCTTTTACCAACACACGTCACCATGTCACCGACAAGAATCACCATGTGCCACAACAAGGACTTGATTGGTTTCGTAGGCTCACGGCTGGAGAAGGTTCTGCTACAGGATGACTCTTCGGTTAAGTTGCTCGGTGTACGGACCCTGTTGAGGCAGCTTGCTACACAGGTTTTCACGTCTTAAAAGGTTTTCACAAGTAAGTAAGTAAGTAGGTAAATAAATAAATAAGTAAATTTTAATCTAAAAGCATGAGTGATTGGAGAACTAAACTCAGTTGTCAAGTAACTTGGTGATCTAGAACAACCTGTTACCTGCAGGGCTCAGAATCATATTTTTACTGGTCGGATTATTATGCTACCAGCAAATCCCACAATACAGAACAAAATTCCGATGCCACCATTTTGGAAAGCCTGAAGGACTTGCCCTGCATGCTGCTGTGACTTACATAATAAGAAATAAGTGTTTGGTCTTTGTCCCCTTTTCTGGAACAGTCCTAAAACCCTTGGAATTTCCTAAAGTTATGAAAGTTGTAAGAGTGTCTTCTGTTATGTTAATGAGGTGACTTTTTGGAAAACAGCTACAAGAATGGGGGTTGGTGGCTGGTGGAGCCAGCAGCGAGATTAGAGGGGTTGGAACCCTCAGCCCCACCCCCCTGACCTCTGGGAATCGGGTTGAATCAACTGCCAATGGCCAAAGATTTAATCAGTCATACCTAGGTAATGAAGCCTCCACAGAAACCTACAAGGATGAGGTTTAGGAAGCTTCTGGGTTGGTGACCACGTAGAGATCCCGGGAGATGGCACAGTTGGAGAGGCAGGGAAGCTCCCGGCCCCTCCCCACATACTTCACCCTACACACCTCTTCATCGGGCTGTTGAGTCATAGTCCCTGTAATGAACCAGTATGGTAATCTAGTGAGTAAACTGGTTTTCTGAGTCCTGTGAGCTGATCTAGCAAACCCAAGGAGGTCATGGGAACCTTTGATTTTACAGCCATTCGGTCAGAAGCACAGGTGACACCCTAGACTTGTGACCGGCGTTTGCAGTAGGGACAGGAGCAGTCTTGTGAGACTTAACCTGCGGAAGTGGATGCTCCCTCCAGGTAGACAGTGCCAGGACTGAGTAGAATTGTAGGACATCCAGCTGATGCTCAACAATTGCTAGTTGGTGTAGGGACCCCCCTGCCTCCCCGGCCACCCACCCACCCACACATGTGCTCACCCAAATTAGAAGTGGTATTAGAACCCTATTACCACGGTACAGCACCAGGTAGCAATCAGTAACGTTCATTAGGAGCTCCTTATAAGGCACATTATATTCAACTGAAAGACGGGAGGACAGAGAAGCAGCACAACTTAAAGCATCATATTTAAAACCCGAGTCGGGCCCTTGGAGCGTAACTCACGCAAAAGACTGATACGGTTACAAAATACCCTAAGCACAAAAGAATCAGAATATAAAAAATGAACATCCAGAAATCACTTGCAGAGAGTAAGTAGAGAATATTCCAGGGAGAAAGTACTGAAGGGGAATAAGAAAAAATACAGCAACTTGTAAGGGGCAATTCAGAGGAAAGGAATGAATCCCAAGTGTGGCAGAACACCAAGTCAGCTTTTTAAACAAAAGCTTTTGCCTCAGTCTATAAACATGACAGGGGGAAATTTCACAGTAATAATTGTTTTTCTTTTTAACCTGATAATGAAAATTCATATCCCAGCAAAGTTCACCGCGATAAAAGATCACTTAAGACAACAAATTATTTAAGTTAATACTCATTAGAGCACTGACCCTGTCCTTAGCTAAAAAGGAGTAACTGAGCAGTCGCTGAGTATTTTATGACCCGGCTGATGATAACAAAAACAGCAACAAGGGTAACAGTTGACATTCACTGAGAGCTTACAGTCCGCTGGCCCCTGTTCAGAGCATTTTACGTGTACTGATTCAGCTAACCCTTACGAGAATACTTCCCTCCATTTCACAGAGAGAAAATGAAGGACTATTAAAAAGAGAGACAGAGCCGGAAGCGGGCAGTCAGCCTCCGAAGCCTGTGCCCGTCACCACCCTGTGACACTCAGCGTGTTTATTTCACCCTCTGTAGTTTCATCTCCCAGGTGACATGCATCTCAAAAATACCCAAAAGGGCACAATGAACAAGAGAAACGTGAGAAAGGGTAACATCACTTACCATTGGGGAAAGCTAACACACTGATGATAAGAAAGAAGAAAATTACAGAGAGGATACCCCTCCAGATGTTGTCTTCTGGGACAGAGTCATCCCTGGAAACAGAAAAGGAACATTGAGTATTCATCCTCAGATCTGAACAGTCAGCCTAGAAGGGGTAAGAGTTCCCGTGTTTTAAAAACTGGGGGAGGGCTAACTTTATTTTGCTGAGCTAAGTCACTACACACATTACTTACTGTTCACTGTCCATTCCTAAAAATAGTACAATCTCATTAATAAAGTCCAGTTCTTACATGAAAGGCAATCGGCAACTTTACACACCAAAACACATTCTACTCAGACAAGCATTTGAGAATCACTGTTCTTTAAAAAATACCCAGGATGTCAAAAGGTAAGGTTTATTTTGGGGAAATGCCTTTTGGTGCTAAGGATAACTAAAGATGACTTCACTATATGGACTGTGGCAAAGAAACTGTTCGGGAATCAGAAAGGAAGCATAAGATTACAAGGAAAGGGCATAATGCCATGAGGTTATATAGTCAATTGTTAAATTGGGGCAATTGGCTATTTAAGGGATGAATGAAAACGGCGCAGTGTAGCGTAATCAGAAAGCACTGGTAAAAAATGCTAAAAGAAAATTAAGAGAAAAAAAATACAAGATTTAAACACAGAACAGAAACAACATAATCGTAAAGTAAGGAGATAAGCTTCCTTTCTCCCGTGCCGGGTCACTTCTAACGTCCTACTGTATTTAACTCCTGTGTAACCCCATCAGCCGCTGCTGCCACCCCCCCCAACAGTGAGGGGAGGGGACGCAGGATGAGGACAAGCAGGCAGCCAGGCCTCTGCAGCCCCCACAGCCGTGCCCCCCTGAGGGGACTCAGGATATGGAAGAACAGGACACTGACCCTAGATAGCCAGGTGCATATCCAAGGAATGATTTCACTGAGCCCAGACCTTTGCATCTTCCCAGACAAAGAAAAGCACCAAATTCTTTAACTTGAGATAACCGGTTTTCTTTAATTAACAGTAAACTTTTGATGTTCTGACTACCTGGTCTTTGTTGCAAAATCTCTTATCTCCTAGCTTCTACCTTGCCCTTTTGGAACAGCCTCTTAGAGTGACCTGAGATGCCGTGTCCCGAGCTTGAGTCCTCAGGAAATCCGCCAAATAAAACATAACCCTCAACTTTTAGGTTGTGCATTTTATTCCAGTCGACAAGAAGGACTGTAGTAAAAGACTTGTCAGAAGACAAATATTAAATTAAAATTAAACATTACAAATCAAAAAAATCTTGGAAGAAAACCAAGTTTGCATAGGAAAAAAAAAAAAAAACCCAGAGCACCAGAATATATATATGAAGCGGTGTGGAATGAAACAATAATGAATCACCTAGTTAAGGACTGTCAACTTCTGTTTAGGCTGCTAAATTTCCGCACCCAATGAAATAATTTCCAGACTAAAGACAGGATTGAACCTAAGGTTCTAAAATACGAGAGCATACAGATCTTAAATGTTTCCTAGATCATGTGGCCAAACAGCCCTAAACTAATGCTGGACAAATAATACTTGACTGTTAACATCATAGATCTGATTACAAAACCAAACTACAGAATCAGACAGACGTCCTCTTGCAGTAAAGTACAATCTCATTTTAATGGACAGCCTAACAATGAAACATCTGCCCACAGGTTATAAACACAACCTAAAAATGCCAGCCCAGCCATTACTGGGGTACTTGTGATGCCCTCTGGCGTATGCAGGGAAGCCCCATATCCGGTTTCCAGGAACACTGGCTTTTCCTGAAGAAGAGCTACCCACAGCGGGGGCAGGGACACAACGTCCCCATTCAGACCAACATCACACGACCGAAATGGTACTGATGACAGCAATGATACTAGCTCCTGCTTCTCAAGCATCTACTGCGTGCCAGGCCCTGAACAGGCAGTTTATAGGCAGTTTATAGACATCACCTCTAATTGTCACAATCCATTTGCAAAATGAGGTGTTATCAATCACATCTTACAAATGAGGTAACAAAAGTTCAGAGAGGTTTGGTGACTCGCCCAAGAAGTAAGAAACTGCGGAGCCAGAATTCAAGACCAGGCCTGCTAGACTCCACAGATGGTGATCTTTCCCCTACGCCAAACTGCCTCAGGGAAACTTAGCTGTCATCCTACATCAATCTGATTCATAGTAAGTGCACGGGGGTGGCATAAGAGAGTTTGACAGGCCATGCAATTTGTAAGTTACAAAATAAAAGCACGGCTAAAATGAGTAACTGTTGCCTAAAAAAATAAGATGAAGTTCCATAAGTCATACTTTCTACCAAAATATTTTCTGGATGATTCAAAGAATTAAGTAAAAACAAGACAGAACAAAATTCTAGAAGAAATGAGAGAATTAAAAAAAGCCAAAAACCAAAAAACCCAAAATGAAACACAATAGCCTCAGAGTAGGGAAGACCTTTCTAAAGGATGACACAAAACCCAGAAATCATAAAGGAAAAAGCTAATAAATTTGCACGGCAAAGAAATCAGTGACAAAAGCAAAGGAAAAGCAATAAACTTGGGAAAAGTATCTGCAACTCACATGAAGGCAAAGGGTTGATTCCCCTAATTACAAAGCATTCGCCCCAGCATCAGTTAACAGAAAGAACAGCAAACGGACAAAGAGAAACAAATAGAAAAATGGGTAAAGGATATGAAGAGACGGTTCACAGAGCAGAAAATCTAATGGCTCTCAGGTGGAGTGAAGAGATACCCAACCTTGTTCGTGGTAAGAGATGGACAAATTAAAACCCAGAGAGACCATTTGTAGCTACCTTATGGACAAAGGTAAAGTTTGATGACTGAGCTGGTGAAGATATGCAGAAATAGATAAACAGGCACTCTCACACATTGCTAGTGTGTAGTATAAATTTACACTGCTTTAATGGAGGGCAATCTGGCAACATGTTAACTTATAAATGTATATACCATGTGACCCAGCAACTCCATGTATGGGAATTTATCCCACAAACCTATTCTCATTTATACAAAAATGACATATATACAAGGCTGTTCACTGTGGTATTTTATATGTGTTAGCAAAAATTGGAAACAACTGAATGTCCACCAAAAAGGGACTGACTAAGTAAATTATGGCCCCGTCTCATAATGGAGTACTAGGCAGCCATAAAAAGAATGAAGAGGCTTTTTATTAACTGATACAGAATAACTTCAGAGATCAAGTTGTAGAGCAGTAGGTACAGTAAGCAGCTTTTTCCGCAAAAAAAGCGAGCATGTGTATGTATGTGTAACTTGTAACCTGTGCTCACAGCTGCACAGCATGTCTCTGGAAATCCACGTAAGAAATGGTGACACTGGTTTTCTCCAAAGAGGATAAAAGAGGAGTAGGGTGGGGGGTGGGGATTGGACTTTTAACCATATACCCTTTGGGAAAGCTTGGATTTCAAGCAACATGGATATGCCACTTGTCAAAAAATTTAATTATATATCAACATTAAATTTATAAGAACAGTGATAAACAGTGAAACTGCACTTTTGTAAATTTTGAGTAATTTTATTAGAAAGACAGGATCAAAAAGAAGAGCCTAGTTTCTGGAGCCAAAAAAAAAAAAAGCCCATTAAATCTGAATAAAATAGCAGAGGGTCTGAAAAGCTGGCTGTTTTCTATTTGCCTAATTAGAAATAAAAATGTATCAAAGATGGACAGTGAGGTCTTTGGCAAAACTGAAAACGTACAGTACAGGAGGATCAAATTCCTGTGATCAAAGATTTAGGGCACAGGGGAGGGCAGGTGGTGAAGAGGAAACCTCAGTCCCATCAGACTGGCAGCCCCGCTTGACCCTCTGGCTTTCCTGGGAGCGGAGGCTGTTCCCAGGGCCCCCGGAACAGTCCCTGCAAGCGGTGGGCGCAAAGACTGGAATGCATGACTGAGAAGGCCGCCCACCCACACCGGCCTCCTGACAAGCTGACCACACAGGGCCATTCACTAAGGCTGGTGCAGACTGTCCTCTGTCAGCTCCCAGTAATCCAGGGACTCCGCCATTTCCCAGTTCAGCACGAAAAGCAACGCGGCTGCAAAGGCCACAAAGACCACACTAGGGACTCCAGAGACACTCAGAGGACAAGAACGGGTGGCCTCTGGACACCCAGTATGCCTGTGCCTCGGAAGGCTAGCTGCTCTGTGTGTTAGTTCTCTTGAAGGGGGTAAATGATCATATGCTGCATTTTACTGACTCCAAAGTCTAGAAAAGTCTAGGCTTTTCCCCCTTTAGGAGGCTGCTGGGTGCAGCGACAGGGAGGACAGGCTTGTGGCCAGAATTCTGACTTTACACTCTTCGGCCTGTGTGACCTTGGGCAGAGCACTTAACCTCTCTGTGCCTTGGTTTCCTCATCAGTACATCAAGGATAATAAAATTGCACCTCACAGGGTTGTTGTGAGAATAAAATAACTTAGCACATGTAAAGACTGAGAACAGCACCTGGCACAGAGGGACTGTCACTTATTAGCTCCCGATTTCTGTCCACTCATTCCCTCAGTTAGCCGACACCTATCACTGGGGACAGAGATGAACAGACATGGTCTTGAGTCTTCAGAGAACTATGCACCACGACATATACAATTAAAGTATTATCTTAGCAAACCCTTGGCCAGAGAGAAAAGTTTTTTATTTGCTGGAACTGTCTCTGATTAACCTGACAAACCAAAAAAATCAACCAAAAAAACCATTTTCAATTGCTCACACAAGACCCCATTACCATCTCCTCAGGCTTTGCTGAGGGCGCAGTACAGTTCCCACTTCCCAGGGAAGATGATAACTTGTGGTCAAGGCTGCCAGGTCCCCATCCTGACTCTTCCTGGCCTTAGGAGCCTTGCTCAACCAAGACATTTTGCTTTACAGCAACAAAAAAAGAAGAAACAACTTCAAGCTTTCATCTGCGATGCTGTCAGGCACCTTGACCTCTTTCCCAGCTCTACTGAGGCTCCTAACACCAAGCACCTGAGCCTCCGGCGCTCTGCACTTTCCAAAGAACTTTCCCAGCGGGCATTTTGTTTAACTGCTCCACAGTTCTGTCGGGGAGCATTT